CATGTGTTAAGAACAATAATCCACTCATTCTAGGATAGAATAGCTTAAAGTGATCTGTAAGCCATCGCATGTTATCTACTACCCTATAATATGATATGGGGTGAGGATCGCTCAGTCGGTATAGCGATGGACTACATGCTGGACGGTCAGTTTTCGATTCCGGGCAGGGCAAGATTTTTCTCTTCTCCAAATTGTCAAATCGGCATGATATGGGGTGAGGATCGCTTAGTCGGTATAGCGATGGACTATATGCTGGACGGTCAGTGTTCGATTCCGGGCAGGGCAAGATTTTTCTCTTCTCCAAATTGTCAAACCGGCTCTGGGGCCCACCTAGAATCCTATCTAATGGGTACCGGGGGCTCTTTCTCTTTGGGTCTAAGCGGTCGGGGCATGAAGCTGACCACACCTTCATGTAGTGCCAAGGTCAGGATTGGTGGAGCTCTACCTCTTCTCCCTTATATGTCTTCACTGCATAGTGCTTAAGCACAGGGACAACTTTACATTTGTAGTACCAGTTTGATTAAATTAAGGAGGGTGCGATGTAGCTCACGTTAGAGGGATGAGAAGTGGACAGCACAACGCGGTTCATAATGATTGTAATGTGCGTAACCATGTTCATACATTTCATAACCAGATCTGTGGCATGTTTACTTCTAGGGACATTTCACCTAGAACTGCACCACAGACATTGGTTTCCTGTTAACGTATTTGAGCATCCTGCTGCATTAGTGGTTCACTTCACGCAAACGCACGCACACACACCCTCTCTCTCTCTCTTCCCCTCTCTACACCCCTCCCCCTCCCATACCCCTCCCCCCTCTCTGATACCATCAGTTCTGCTTCACAGAATTATTTGTCCAACCACCACTTGGTCCATGTTTTGCTGTAAATCACGCAAATCATCATATACACTCGATGATCGCCCTGTGTAGCCGAAACATCATTGAATTTACTTAACAGTATGAATTAAGTGGTCATTCGACCAGCAATGCATTGAAGCCTGTATTATGTGTGTTTATCAGATTGATCCTGTATCCCTGTACCAGGCCGTGGAGACCCATAGGGTTGTGAGACGTTGAGGCTCCCACATTTTCTAGACAATCGGCTCAAAGATGGCGGTAAGGTTGTCAGCCTTACGTGCCGGCCGCGCTTTACTCCCCAGGAAAATTATTTAATTAATTCCTGGTACTGATTTCTGTTAGAGGCTGAGTCGACCCCAGGGCATAGTGCGGCTTCCGGCTTGTAGCATAGTGCCCCAAACAACTACGCTACCGCGTGCCCCAAAATTGATAACTTCGGACTAGGTAAATAGAGGAATTACTCGTACAGTCAAGAGGCTGTCTCTCTTTCGAGTTTCCATCCCTTGTTTTGGCTGCATTAGGTTTGCTGCTCGGGTGGATGTTACCTTTTTTAAGTTCTTTATTTAACAACAGTATCAGGGCCGGTCACGGTACCCGGGCGGTCTAAGGCATGTACTGTCGTCGCTCGCTCGGAAGCTGGGGTCGTGGGTTCTAATCCAACACAAGGGTTGGATATTTGGAATGTGTATGTGTTTGTGTTGTCCTGTGTTTAGATGGAGGCCTTGCGACGAGCTGATCTCTCGTCCAAGGAGTCCTGCCGTCTGTGAAATGATAAAAAAAAAACAACCTCGACACTTTAGAGTATAAGAGGAACGGATTAAGTATCATGGCTACATGGACCAGTCGGTGGAATGCGAATTGGCAGGGGAAGTCGATGTACTCATCAGAAAACTTGTCCTATTGCCACTTTATCCGATACACGTTCCACGTGACCTAGCGTGGGATCGAATTCTGGTCGCTCAGGTGGTTGTGATTCTGCCACTCATCAGATAAGGAGTCTGCAGAAGTTAGTGATTTCCAATCGGGTATCAATAAGGCGAGACCTCGTAAAGTTTTTTAGCAGGCTTAAGGTACAATGACTTTATCAGTACTGATATGTAGTCGTTTTTACTCTCGCTCATGCATGGCTCGCTAAAGAAGCACACAGTTCCGGACTGGGATCGAGAGGTTGTCGCCAGTAGCCTAATTGCAGCATGGCACTGAATTGTTTATACTGGATTCAAGGCGGCGGCATGCGAAACTTCACGTTATGTTAGAAATTGTAAACGGAAGTTTCTTGAACCGAGATAATGTCTGACTAGTAAATGACGCGAGAAAATCTCATTCGAAATGAAATCTGTATTTTTAAATTGTATGTCTCCTGTCTTGCTTCATTATTCATGAAATGCAGCTATCATTATTTACAGTTTTTTTTTTTTTTTGCTATTTTGGTAAAACTCGAATACTGTCAAGGTAAATTCAGACGGAATTTGTAAATTTTTCCACGGCGTTGATTATGAGGAATGCCGTCTTATGTGATATGGCTCCCTGCAGATCTTGTGTGAAGCGACGTTTCGGAGGAACATCCGCGAACGAGGAACCAGCTTGAGCACGTGGCTGCAGCCACATCCTAGAAGACGACCTTCTTCAGACTGAATTTTGTTGCGAATTTGCGCTAGAAGTTCTGGCTCTTCATTTTCTCCCTGCAAATGTTCTCATTTCTGAACGAGCACGCTAAAGGAAAGAAAAATTAATTTCTATTACCTCAGTGATCGTGTGGGAAAGGGAATTAAATGTCCTTCCGTCCGTCCGACCTATATTCCTTACTTTTCAATTCTTTTCACTGATATTTGCATTCTGATCTATAATTTTCCATGGCTTTTTTAGTTTCGGTCCTTATCGATTCTCTGTTACTCCTAATTTAACTGTGGCTATGTCTGCATTTGCAACATTTGTGAGAGAAGTTGACTCCGGAAATGGGTACATGACGTATATGACGGGTATATAATGGGTATATGACGTGAAGACTGTTTTCGCTCGCTTGGAAACCGGGATCGTGGGTTCGAATCCCACTCAGGGCATGGATGTTTAGGTTGTGTGTGTGCGTTTTTCTGTGTTTGTGTACAGGTAGAGGCCTTGTGACAAGCTGATCACCCTCCCAAGGAGCCCTACCTAATGTGTAAGATCCGGAAAAACCGAAGTGAACGGAGAAGTTCATGGAGGTAGGCCTAGGCCCACTGGGGCTGTAGTGCCAAGGAAAAAAAATGACGTGAAGCACATATAAGACATATCTTTATCTTTGATTTGAAATGTATAGTAGGAACGAATTATTAATAAGACGACTATATGCTGTTGACCTGCCCTCATAACTGCAGATTTATATCTGAGTTCGAAGAAAATACCAAGGCCGTGTACATGAAGTCATAAAATGTCAAAGGATATATTTGATATTACTGTTAGAAGGTCGTGAAAACAAACTTTCCTGAGGGACCGAGCCGTGAGGCTTGTGTAGGACTTGAACAATTTCTGCGAAGTTATGAAAGGGAAAATTAATAGAGCTCTTTATATTTCCAGATTGCCAGTTAAAACTTCGAACTTAATTCTGTTAGTACTTTGTATATATTTCAAGTAACACATTCTGTAAGATTCGTGCTGCAGTAAATGGAAGGATAAATTCGGAATGTATCTAATGTTATTCAGTTAGAAATTTGCCGTCATCTTGTGAAGCACTAATGATTCTAACTGCTTATTATGTGATTTAAGGAAGCGCTACAACAAAAACGAAATAAACTCCGTGATTTTAGTCCGCAAGCGGACTATACCGACCGAGCGACCGCCGCTTGTCGGCGAAGTTAGTGCCAACTTTAACGGCTAGAGGGTGTCACGTGGTCAGCGCGGCCGCTATTTCCTTAAAATAGCGCTTCAAATATCCTCATGAGGCTGAATTTACCCCGTTTACGTTTCTTTTTTTATGGCATTGCTATACGTATACCCCAAAGCCTAGGTGCCTGCCTCAGAGCCAGTAATCAGTTCACGTAAACGGTCAGTAATGTGGCTCTGTTACCGTATGCATGTCTATTAATGGAACCGCCCCACCATACGAATAACGCTGAATTCATATTGCAGCCCGTGCAATCGTATTCTTGCAGCGAAGATTGAAGACAACCTCCTGAAATTTGTGTTGTGTCTGTTTCGAAGTAATAGTGTTACTTTGTAAATCATTAAGAATTGATTTGGGTCCTCGGTTTAAACAAATCGGCAGAAGGACCTAAAGAAACATGAATTGGTATGTTAAAACTTTCTTTTAGTTCACTCAACCCGAATGCATTAATGCTAGGCATGTCCTCCTATGTTAGATAGTAAGCAACGCAGGAATACAGTTCCTGTGTTTCTGGACATTTTCCTTCATACTGTTTTTATTTAAAAGGCATCGTTTCGGAGACTGGATTCTGCCCTCCATCTTCAGGGAGAACGTACTCAGTTGGGCCCAATCGATAAAGCTAGTCCCTGTCTCCGGACCAAGAGATAGTGACTAACTCTATCGATTGGGCCTAACACAATAATTGTATTAATACACTATCGACGCAGACTTTTGGATCTTAACGCAGGAATTGTTATTAGATGGGCCATTTTAGAGGTGCTTTTGCTTGGGACAAGAAAATAATTTCCAACGCAACCTTCCGCTACGTTATCACATTTCGCTTGTTTACAGCGAGAAAACTGCGCTGTCAGCAGTATTACTGTTTTCCTTTGCTGTTGATTCCGATCTCTGTGACAGCTGAGTAGACGCAAAAATGTTTCTAGATAGTCTCTGCAGATGGCGCCAGCCTGCAGAACCCAGTTTGTCAAGGCCCCCAGTAGCTCTCAAAGTTGTTTGGCGTGTGATGTTGGAGGCCTTGACTCTGGCAAAGTGGGAAGTGCTGCCTCTTGCTGATAATATTACAAACAGTAGAGAGATCAAGGTTTGTGAGCACTGTTCAAATTTAACTTTTGATAACGATGAGGTGGTTTATCATTTTTTTAATTCTGTGATTGTATATTGTGTACAGTTTTAAGTTGTATTTTTGTGCGTTATAAGTTGTTACTTTTTGTTATAGTTTTAATTTTTTTGTTGTTTTATTTTACTATTTAGTTTGTTTTCTGTTTTTGTTTTTTGACCAGATCTCGGCGTGCGTCTCAAGACATCACGCGTACCAGCGACAGTATCGTGCCATGGCAACGGTGAGTATTCGATTGACACACTCCACGCTCTTGAAACATCCATTATATGTGACCTTTGCACGAAACTCATAAAATGAACATATAATTGGGAAATCTTTTCTATCCGCATGTTTCACCTTCGAAACTACGGATCGGACTTATGATAAGGATTATAATGTTGAGGGGGGGGGTCTACATTAAAGCCTTGTCTCAAGCAAGTTTTATTTATTTATTTTTTCATATCTTACAGATAATAGACCGATGTTTACACGGTGCTGAAGTCTAGTATGTCGATAGTAATTTGTCTTAAGAAAAGTGCGTGAAAGTCATCATATAAGAACCTCGTTAAAATTTACGAGTTTTATTTGAAACAGTTTTAATAAACGTAAAGGTATCCCTGTAACAGTCCGGTAAGGCTCATAGGGTTGTGAGTTGTCGAGGCTCCCACATTATCTCTAGACAGACGGCTCACTGATGGCGCTAAGGTTGTCAGCCTTACGCGTCCTACGCCCATCGCCCCCAGGAAGATTCGTGGTACTCATTTTTTGTTAGAGGCTGAGTCAACCCCAGGGCCATAGTGCGGCTGGAAGGATTAGGTCAATTGAAAGAAATGTAATAGTCGTCGGGACTGGAGCCCGCGGCCTTCCGGCTTGTAGCATAGTGCCTCAACCAACTACGCTGAAACATTTGTAATATGGTTAATAATTAAGGAAGTACTGGGGAAAATAATGAGACCAGCTTAGATTGAATAATAGCTTTGGAACAATGCCGGTATGTTCGCGTCTGTAACGAAGAAGACCGTCCGAAAGGTTTATTTTCTTTTTCTTTTCTGTTGAAGAAATCGCATGGCAACGTATTTAAATGCAAATCGGTTTTAATAATTTAGTCTTGTAAACATGATGGAGGTTGAATAAGATGTAGCCTGCATGTGTAAGTGTTGTTATTCCCATTCCTTGATATAAGTAATTCGGTAGGCGCCCCTGGTTACAGATCCAGAGGTCTGGGTTTCATTCCCAGCGCTACCAGATTTTCCATCTGCATGTAAGTGTCTGTTATTGTTGTTCGTCTTCAACCAAAATTTAATGCATCAACAGAATTTAGTGAAACTCCTCAGCATAAAATATTATTAAAATCAGTTGAGAAGTTCTCGTGTTCCATGGGGACTGACAGACATGGTGAAATAAATAGGCGCATTTTAGATAATTTTCTTTTAGAATGCTCCAAGAAGTAGGTGAAAAAATAACAGCTTAATACACGACCACACACACACACACCAAAGATAGAGATCTTACGAGATCACCTTGCTGTCTATGTTTCTGTACGTGTATCCCCCTGTAACAAACTTTGATCTCTTAAACCGATTTTCATGGAAATGGGTATGTATTCGGAAAGACCCCCCTGGTGAACTGTTAAGAAAATAAACAGTGAGAGAAGAGATTTGTTATATACAGAAAATACCTACATACTTAAGCTGCTTCTTAATGTAGTCAGCGCCGAAATTGAGGCACTTGTCGTATTGGGGAACAATTCTGCCGCCTGTGGGCTCAGCCACGTTTTGACACCTTTCATATACTCCTCATTATTGTTGGAACTCTCTGATTCCAACAAGTTCTTCAGGTTGGTAAACAGATGGTGGTCGCTCGGAGCGAGATCAGAGCTGTAAGGTCAGACAACTCCCAACTGAAATGCTACAGCAGTACTCAAGTGCGAACAGTTGTATGCAGACGTTCAATGTTATGGAGGAGTACTACGAGTACACTGTATGTCAGCATTCCACGCGTTTTTCTCTGAATGGCCCCACGCTTTATTCCAGTGTTATGCAATACACTTGTGACGTTATTGTGGCCCCTTGTTTCATGAATTCCATCATCAGTACCTCTGCCCTGTCCCAGAACACAGTTGTCAGCAGCTTTCAGGCAGCAGACGACGTCTGTTTAAACTTTTTCTGCTTGTTTGGTGAATGTGTGTGCATCCAGTGCTTTTGTTGCGCTTTCGTTTCAGCATTCACAAATGAAACACACATTTCGTTACCTGTTACTCGTACAATGTTGTTGAGAAATTCATCTCCTTCTTTGTGGCATCGCTCTGAAAAGTCAAAACCGAAGACATTCTCCACGTTTTGTGCGCACCTGTGACCGTTATCGGAACCGTTTTCCGCAGAACTTGTGATAGTATAACCTAACTGTGATTCTGTGGAAATTTACAGGAAAAATCTGAAATCGTGAAACGCCGTTTTCTCAGATTTTTTGGTCAACATTTCGCACAATATAATCACTACAGATGACCGGCCGATCACTTCGCTCTTCATCATGAACATTTGTTCACCCGTCTTTGAACCTTCTACATCATTATCTTGCAGCTCCTTCGCTCATTACATTTTGGCCGTAATGCACGACGAATTTCCGCAGCACTCATGTTTTTTAGCGTATAGAAAGCGGATAACAGCTCGAATTTCAAAGCTTGCGGGACTATCTACCGCAGGACACATCGTAACTCACTCTGTAGAGACAAGAACGAGCACTATGTGACCAGTTATGTGAAGGTTTACAAGGGTTCATGTGTCTGTACCTCGCATGCGCGAGCTCTCCCCCGCTTCACATTAGTTGCCTAGAATAAACGGAGGTTACTTTCCGAATATCCATCTTGTGTGTAGTCACGATTTTATAGTGACTGTAGACGGGGTTTTGATTGGTAATTTGATTTATTGAACACTTACAGATTGTAAATATCTGTAACTGTATCTAGTTAACACACTCAGCAGTTCACTGCAGCACGTACTAAATCTTCTCAGTCTGCTGTATCTTCGCCAGTCTTTGCCTGGTAACGGCTTCCAACGCCGTAAATCCCTCAACTTCCATGTTTACGGCATCTCGTCCTCGCTGGCTGTCACCTGTCTCACGTCTGGTCCCCAACTGAACTAAATGGCTTCCAACTGCCGAACTCAAGACTGAGTCACTCACCAACCAACTTACTTCACTCCACCAGCTCTAGCTGCAGTCAGCGCCATTATCTAACTCCCAGGCTGGCAGCCGTCTCACACCAACCTCCTCCTCTTCTCACTGCCGTCTCAAGACTCCCTCGTAATCGCATCTGCACCTCGTTATATAGCCTCGGCACAGATGACATGGTAAACATATCATCCAAGAGTTCTTCTATTGTTGCGTTACGTAGCTATCACACGGACCGCGTAACACTGCTATCCAGTTACTGCCATTATCTAGCAACGGCTGTTGTGTAGCTGTTTATTTTGCGGTCGCTGCCTAGCAACGAGTCTGTATGCATATATGATGGCACCAAATGGCATTTCAACGGTAGACTTGAATGCCTCCCACCAATAGTACCAGGATTGGAGCCTCAAATTTTGTATATAATAACAGTAATATTACTTGATGCCTGAACCGATTGTCATGGAATTTTGTATGTATGTCATGTCATCTGAAGTCATCTCTATGGCTTTCTTCATGCATCCGTTCCAGCAGTAATACCAACACTACAGCCTCACATATTGTATTGTTTTATTGACTTCATTATGCGTATGTACTAAAGTTTTTTTTTTTTGCGTATTATAGTGAAAGGAAAGAGACGGTTAGTTCTTCCCAGAACTTGTTTACTTCTGCATTTTGGTTCCCTTCTTCTTGGCTATCGCTCAGCTCCGAACACTGAATGTGTACTCTAGTTATTAGAAAGGGCCGCAGGGTAGTCACCTCGCCTTGAAGAGGGAGGCAGCAAGGATCTCCAGAACGTCGGAAATACTTCTGCATGGAGCCATCGGAATAATAAAAAAAGAACTGGATCAAAATTAGCATCGGTCCGCCATGAAAGCCTCAAATAATCTGTTAGTCTGTTATTGCATTACGACCGTGCCCATAGCCCACGCGGTTGGTCGCCAGCTTCCCATCGCTGCGGCCCGGGTTCGATACCAAGTCAGATCACGTGGGATTTTTGGTGGACAGAGCGACACTGAGGCAGGTTTTCTCCGAGTACGTAGGCTTCCCCTCCCAATTCAAATCCCACGAACTACTCCATGTTCTTTAATCATCTTACCGTCGACACTGATGACGTCATTACCTCCCTTACACATATCACGTTTTTATCAGCGATACTTGGGCTCTCTCGCTTCAACATCTGTGTAAAGAGGACATTAGAGGTTAGTCGCTGGCTTCCCATCGCGGCGGCCCGGGTTCGTGCCCGGGGCTGGTCATGTAGGATTTGTGGTGGACAGGTTGGCGCTCGAGAAGGTTTTATCCAAGTACTTTGGTTTTCCCCTGCCAATCTTCATTCCACCAATTGCTCCACAATCACCCTCACCTATCATCTGGGGCTGGTACAATTGGCCAGAATTGGCCGCAGTACAAGGGACTTAGTTCCTGTGGATTCAGTCTCACACCACTAAGAGTAATAACAAAAAATAAAATATATAGGACCCCGCGGTATAAGGTATGAACTGTCTTCGCCCGTTCAAATACTTGGATCGTGGGTTCGAATCCCAATGGAGGGATTAATGTCTGTCTGATTTTGTTCTGTGTTTGTGTTGTCCTGTATAGGCAGCAGCAGCCTTGCGACGGGCAGATCCACAGTCCAAGGAGTCCTACCAACTGTCTTATAAGATTAAAGAAACTAAAATGAAACGGCCTTTCACGGATGTCCAGAGGGAGCAATAACAATACTACTAATGGTAATATAGGGACCTATTTTGTTGGTAGGATCGGTTTTCAAAATACTTAATAAATTAGATGACTGAAATCCTCCATTTTAGCATGCAGGTTGTCAGGTACAGAAAATGAACAATTTTATTACTACATTTTCTTACGTGGCACATGCCACCTGAATTTGGGAGTTGTGAGTGTGCATCTTTTAGGTATTGTAAGTCATCTTACGTATTACACTTGACAGCTTCTGTCTGGGACACTCGAGCAATGTCTAGGCCTATGGTATTCAAGTTTTAATGTTGAAATTTGTGTCACTTCAGTAGTGCTCCAAGGAAGGCAATATATTTCATATGTAGCTCTATAGGCTTTCAT